GAAGGGATGAATGAATAGTGGATGAAAAAAGAATGAATGAACAAGTAATTCTCTCTTTTTTCCTAGGCTGCTGAGTGTGCAGGGAAGCTCTTTCTGTTCCACACATCACTGCCCATGGCAGAGGCCCCGGGGAAACTGAAGAACAGAGATGACAGGAAGCTAATCAACACAGACAAGGAGAAGGTGTGGGACTGGAAGATGGGTTGGGGGAGGACTTTCCGTTATAGAGGAAAGTGGGGACTCTTCAAAATGCCATACTCTTAACTTTGTTGATGGGAACTAGGACCAGACACTTTGCCCTTTCATATGTCACATCTGTGACTGCCAACCTTCTCCACTGCTGCCACACCTCTCTACCCCGTCACCTGTCTCACTTACCATCCATAGTAGTCTACCATCTTGGTAGACTCTTTTTTTTTTTTTTTAAGAGAACTTTCTACTACTATAGCAAACTCCTAGGAAGTAGATCTGAAGTCTTACATGTTTTTTAATATCCCATATTACATATACAGTTCTCAAATAGGGAAGAGCTGAAATACTTGAGCATCTTCTTCTCCTTCTCCCTAGACTCTGTTCCAGCCTCAGACAGGTGCCTATCAGACCCTGGCCAAAGAGTGTGTGGCCCAAGGCTGCTGTGTAGATCTCTTCCTCTTCCCTAATCAGTATGTGGATGTAGCGACGCTCTCTGTTGTGCCCCAGCTCACTGGTGGCTCTGTCTACAAATATGCTTGCTTTCAGGTATGTTGTGGGATTCTGGGTGGCAGGTGCAGCAGGGTTGGAAATGTCTTCTTACATGTGGACTGGCTCTTTAGCCACTGGCTCATTAATAGGAATAGTGTTGGAAGAGAAGACCATGTAGTATAAAGAAGTGAGCCCCAAGTGTATAGCAGTTAGGAGCATGGGCTTCGGAATCAGTCCTGGGTTGATATTTTGGCCCCCTCACATAACTAGCTACACGACCTAGGATAAATTACTTAATTACTCCCTCATTTGTTCCTTCATCTGTAAAAATGGGGACTAATACTTATTAATTAGGATTTGTCTACAGAATTAGATCATTGTATGTAAAGCACTCAATGTGGCATCTGGCACGTAGTAAGTGCTTGAAAGCTATCACCGTATATGCCAGGTGCAGTGGTTTGCACCTGCAGACCCAGCTAATATAGGCTGAGGCGGAGGCGGGAGGATTGCTTGAGCCCAGGAGTTCAAGGCTGCAGCAAGCTATGATTGTGCTACTGCACTCCACCCTGGGTAACAGAGCGAGACCCTGTCTCTTTAAAAAAAAAAAAAAAAGTTATCATTGTCAACATCATTATTATCATCTTCAGTGTTATCCTTATGATGAAGCAGCCTGTAGAGTGAAAGAAAGAGGTACAGGGAGATTGTCTGCAGGATGAGCTACATAGTCAGTGATGTGACTCTGAGCCTGGGTGGCTGCAGGTGGAGAATGACCAGGAACGGTTCCTGAGTGATCTGCGTCGTGATGTCCAGAAGGTTGTTGGCTTTGATGCTGTGATGCGGGTCCGGACAAGCACTGGTCAGTCCTAGTTGCGGAAGAGCAGGTGGGGGGCTAAGTTTAGGAGGGAGGCCATATATGGCACCTGTCATACTTTTAGTTCTGACCCTATCCATGTGGCCTCAGGTATCCGTGCTGTAGATTTCTTTGGAGCTTTCTACATGAGCAACACAACAGATGTGGAGCTGGCTGGGCTGGATGGGGACAAGACGGTGACTGTGGAGTTCAAGCATGATGATCGGCTCAATGAAGAGAGTGGAGCCCTCCTGCAGGTGACAGGCGGGAGGCAGGGGCTGGGGAGGAAGTGTCAGGTGTCATTTGCTGGGTATAAACAGGCTGTAGGGAAAGAAAGGGTGAGGAGTGGGTAGAGAGCACTAGAAGAAGAGATTAGGTGGGGAGTGGCTCATTTCTCTCTTCTAGTTTGTAACATAGCAAAGGGGCAGTTTTTCAGAGGGCCTTTGTGAGGGAGGAGTGTGAGTTCCTCCTTTCTCCTTTCCCCTTTCCCCTAGTGTGCCCTGCTTTACACCAGCTGTGCAGGGCAGCGTCGGCTCCGAATTCATAACCTGGCCCTGAACTGCTGCACCCAGCTGGCTGATATGTATCGAAACTGTGAGACTGACACGCTCATCAACTACATGGCCAAGTTCGGTGAGGACGGAGGCAGGGCAGGGTGGGATTGGGGCTGAGAGAAAGATCCAGGATGGTCAGTGATTCAACATGCCTGGGTAGGTGTGGCCATGGGAAGGCATATGTGATGGGCAGCTGACCAGTGACTGTGTATCTCCCTTTCCCATCCAGCATACCGGGCAGTCCTAAACAGTCCTGTGAAGGCTGTTCGTGACACTCTTATCACCCAGTGTGCCCAGATCCTGGCGTGTTACAGAAAGAACTGTGCCAGCCCCTCCTCTGCAGGACAGGTGGGGCAAGCATATTAGTAGCGGGGGATAGGGGGACAAATGTTTGCATTTGAGAAGGATTTCTCAGCATCGACTTTATTTTGATAACCTCCTCAGTTGATCCTTCCTGAGTGCATGAAGCTACTCCCAGTTTACCTGAACTGTGTGTTGAAGAGTGATGTCCTGCAGCCTGGAGCTGAAGTCACTACTGATGATCGTGCCTATGTCCGACAGCTAGTTACCTCCATGGATGTGGCTGAGACCAATGTCTTCTTCTACCCTCGGCTCCTACCGTTGGTGCGATTGAGGGTTGGAGTATGAGACATTGCACTGAGGAAAGGGCCTTTTAGAAGGACAAAAGGAAGGGTTAATATTATCTGTGTCTGACACTAATGAATTTGTTTTTATATACATAATCTGATGTAATTCTCACACTGAGAGAGTTACTAAGACCACAGAAGGGGTGGTGTGTGGGGACTTAGCTTTCTGAATTTTATGTGTGGTTGGAGGCAAGCTTATCTTATAGTCCTTGGTAACCTTTTGCCCCCTTCCTTTTGTCTAGACAAAGTCTCCCATTGAGAGTACTACTGAACCACCAGCGGTTCGAGCATCTGAAGAGCGGCTAAGCAACGGGGATGTGTATTTGCTGGAGAATGGGCTCAACCTCTTCCTCTGGGTGGGAGCAAGCGTCCAGCAGGGTGTTGTCCAGAGCCTTTTCAGCGTCTCCTCCTTCAGTCAGATCACCAGTGGCTTGGTGAGGGCAGGGAGTCAAGGAGAATACGGGTGTGGAAGTACGCTTTGTGAAATGAGTGGGAGCCAATCAAGTTAGTGTGCTACTCTTAGATGTCAGGGAATACCTGGGGAGAAGGGAGGATGCTGCCATTCTTCCTAGGCTTCTTAGTTTCAGATGATGCATAAATCTGTGCTGCGCCATCTTGACTGAACTCAGAGCACCTTACCATAAGGATGAATGAATTTTGTGTTCTAGAGTGTTCTGCCAATTCTGGATAATCCACTGTCCAAGAAGGTTCGAGACCTCATTGATAGCTTAAGGGCACAGAGATCACGGTACATGAAGGTAACACTGATCTGCATCCTGGATTTCGTACCTTGACAAGTCCTCACCTGGAAGGGGGGTGATGGGGAATGAATAAGTGACTGGGTAATATAATAAGATTGCTGGGCATGTTTAATTTCCTTTGGCCTTACCTCATGACCCTGCATTCTGGCCATAGCTTATCGTGGTGAAACAGGAGGACAAGCTGGAGATGCTGTTCAAGCACTTCCTGGTGGAAGACAAGAGCCTGAGTGGGGGAGCATCCTATGTGGACTTTCTCTGTCATATGCACAAGGAGATTCGGCAGCTACTGAGCTAAAGCAAGTGGGTAAATGGCATAGGGTCCCAGGCCAGCTTCCTGAAAGCACCCCAGGACGACAGAGAAATTGGGACAGTTCCATACGTTATACGTTATGTAAGCCGACCTCAGTCTCTTTGGGGGGAGGGGGAGATATAAGGAGACACCTTCTTTCTGGGCTCAAGTATCTTACCACTCTGTCATGTCCTGCTGATGGAAGGTGCCCCATCCCCTCATTCTACCCTCCTTTTCCTGCTAATCCTGTCGTAATGAATGTAGTTTCTCAGTTCACTGTATATGATTCGGTGTTGGGGGTTTGGAGGCACCCAGACCCTGGCAATACTTTGTGTCCCTTTGGACCAGCCTCCAAGAGGAGAGGGGCAGGCAGGAAAGAGTGGGGATCCCAGGGTTACTACAGGGGATGGCTTATTCAGCTCAGTGTCATCACAACTTCCTATATTAGGGATAAAACATACAGGTGCACAAGAGCTGGGGTATAGACCATAGGTGGCGAAGAGAAAAGTGATCAGTCGTTCTTGGGCCTGGAAGTCACAGTCAAATCAAAGTTAATGAGGGTGGTTTGTTTCTCTCTCTGTTTCCACTGCACTCACTCTCTCTGCAATGATTGCTCACTCCATGGGTAGAGGCACATTGTCAGAGATGAATGAGCCTGGGAACTGAGTTGCAAAGTATATTAAAACCTGGGAGAGATACCAGCCTCCTTTCTATCTGGAGAGGCCTCAACACTGGATGGTTCTGTAGGGAGCCTGGTCATCAACTTGCAATACCTCACAGAGCCAGCTCACATCCCACTCTGAGCTCCCACTGGAAACACAAGCTGGGGGTTGTTGGGGAGAGAGGCAGAGGCGCTGGAGCTCTCTGTTCTCTCCCGCCAGGACACCACTTGGGCTTTGGTATTGACTTGAGTGGCTGACAGTTATCTTCCAACCCCAACTGGCTGGGGCAGGACAAGGGCTAGGCTTGATGGTGGCCAGGCTTGCCTGCTCCCAGCCTGGGATGCCCCTGCTCTGGACCTCTCATTTCTCTTCATTGGTTTATTTTTCAATGCATCTTTAATTTGTAAAGAAATAAATTAAGATGTAACCAGTAGCCTCATTCTTAAATGCGAAGTCTCACTTCCCCTTTGGCCCAGCCGCCGCGCATGCGCCGCGTGCCCCTGTGGCGTAGGACCCCGTCCGGTCAGGACTCGCCGCGGGGCGGGGACTTGTGTTGTCCGAAGAGCGCCGGCTGCCAGAGTGGACATGGCGGCCGGCCCCAGCGGGGCTGCGCTGGCCGCGCTGGGGGTGCTCAGTGTCTGTGCTGCCAGCAGCTTTGGGCCTGTGGCAGAAGGGGAGGCCGGCGGGGAGGCGGAGTGGGCGGAACCGTGGGACGGCGCGGTTTTCCGGCCTCCCTCGGCGCTGGGCGCGGTGGGGGTGGTGCGCGATCCCGGGATCCCGCTGCCGGGGAGGGAGGAGGCGGGAGACTTGCCGGTGCTGCTGTGGTGGAGCCCAGGGCTGTTTCCCCACTTCCCGGGAGACTCGGAGCTCATCGAGTGTGCGCGTGGCGCGTGCGTGGCGTCCCGGGACCGGCGGCTGCAGAGAGACTCGCGGACGCGCGCGCTGCTCTTCTACGGCACCGACTTCCGAGCGTCCGACGCGCCGCTGCCGCGCCTGGCGCACCAGAGCTGGGCGCTCCTGCACGAGGAGTCGCCCCTCAACAACTTCTTGCTGAGCCACAGCCCGGGCATCCGCCTCTTCAATCTTACCTCCACCTTCAGCCGCCACTCGGACTACCCGCTGCCGTTGCAGTGGCTGCCCGGGACCGGCTATCTGCGCCGCCCCGCGCCTCCGCTGCAGGAGCGCGCGGAGTGGCGCCGCCAGGGCTACGCGCCGCTGCTCTATCTGCAGTCCCACTGCGACGTACCTGCGGACCGGGACCGCTATGTGCGGGAGCTCATGCGCTACATCCCGGTGGGTGAGGGCGGGGAGGGGACGGGCCGGGCCGAGGCCAGGACCGCAGGTGTCCAGGCCTCCAGGCCGTGCCCTCTTGACCGCCATACTCTGCCCTGCTCAGGTGGACTCATACGGGAAGTGCCTACAGAATCGGGAGCTGCCCACCGCGCGGTTACAGGACACGGCCACGGCCACCACCGAGGATCCAGAGCTCTTGGCCTTCTTATCCCGCTATAAGTTCCACTTAGCCCTCGAAAATGCCATCTGTAACGACTACATGACAGAAAAACTGTGGCGCCCCATGCACCTCGGTGCTGTGCCGGTGTACCGCGGCTCTCCCTCTGTGAGGGACTGGATGCCGAACAATCACTCCATCATCCTTATTGATGACTTTGAGTCTCCTCAGAAGCTGGCAGAATTTATTGACTTTCTAGACAAGAATGATGAGGAATATATGAAATACCTGGCATACAAGCAACCGGGGGGCATCACCAACCAGTTCCTTCTGGATAGTCTGAAGCACCGGGAGTGGGGAGTGAATGATCCTTTACTGCCTAACTACCTCAACGGCTTCGAGTGTTTCGTCTGTGACCATGAGTTGGCTCGTCTGGATGCCGAGAAAGCCCACGCAGCCTCTCCTGGGGACATCCCTGTCCCTGAGCCTCACATTGCCCAGCCCTCACATATGGACTGTCCAATGCCCACACCTGGCTTTGGCAATGTGGAAGAGATTCCTGAGAATGACAGGTGAGGGCTGCTGGGGTCCCCCTTGGTTGTCAGATCAACTTACTGTGTGAGCAGTGAACTAGCACTAGGTGTTGAGGGGAGTGTAGGAGAAAATTATGACATAGACTCAGTCTCCCTCTAAGGTATCAAGAGTGTAGTGGGGGAGACAGGCAAACTGAGAAGACTGAGCAAAGATGTAAAATAGCCCGGCGCAGTGGCTCACGCCTGTAATCCCAGCACTTTGGGGGGCCAAGGTGGGAAGATCGTTTGAGGCCAGGAGTTTGGGACCAGCCTGGGCAACACAGCGAGACCTGGTCACTACAAAAATTAAAATTAGCCAGGTATGGTGGTGCATGCCTATAGTCCCAGCTACTGAGAAAGCTGAGGCAGGAGGATCCCTTGAGCCCAGGAGTTCCAGGCTGCCCTGAGCTGTGATTATGGCACTGCACCCCAGCCTGGGCACTAGAGCAAGACTTTGCCTTTAAAAAAAAAGAGAGAGAGATGTAAAATATAATTCAAGGCAACAACATATGAAGATAAGCTTCTATGGACATTTGCAATAGTAGTTCAAAAAAGTCTTGAACTGGAGCACAGGGCCTGTGCAGGGAGGTGATGGGGGAGAGAGAAAGTTGGCAAATAAACTGGGGCCAGACTATAAATATTCTGAATACCAAGCTCAGGAGTTTGGATTGTCCTGAAAATTAACTCAGCTATTTGAGTACCTTTTATATGGTGGGGAATACAGACGTGAGCATTTTAAGGGAGGTTTTTCTGCAATAGTCAGGGCTTACACCTGTTAACCAGGCATTAATTTTTTTGTGGGAGACCACGTGTCACTCCTTTGCCCACGCTGCTCTTGAACTCCTGGCATTAAGTAATTGATCCTCCAGCCTCAGCCTCCCAGTTGCTGGGATTACAGGTGTGAGCCACCACACCTGGCTCTTTTTTTTTTTCTTTTTAAAGCAGCTGTGTTGAGAATAAGCTCCCAGTGGTGGTTGTGTATAGGGACACTAGAAGAACATAACTACAAGAGCCAGGCTTAAATATTAATAGCACCTCCTTTCACTCTGAAAAGTACCCTGATTAGGATGATACATTATGTTCACCCTAACAGAATTGGAGGAATGCTTTCAAAAGATTAATGATGGTGGGCAGTGTGGGTTGAAAGGGAAGTGAGTAGGCTGCTATAGTAGGTGGCAGGTGGTTGCATCGGAAAACAAGGTTGGCATGGGAGGTGGGGTTGAAGCCACTTGCAGCAAGCCATACCTGTTGGGGGAGAGGTGATAAGATTATTAAACTGGAGTGCCGGGTGCAGGGGCACACGCCTGTAGTCCCTATAGTCCCAGCTACTCGGAGGCTGAGGGGAGAGGATCGCTTGAGCCCAGGAGTTTGAGTCCAGCCTGGGAAGCATAGTGAGATCCTGTCTCTAGAAAAAATATATATACTTATTAAAAAAAAAATTATTAAGCCAGAGAAAGGCTGCTAGAATGGCCTGCGGAGACTGACTTGGACAGTGGATGGCAGCAGAGGGCTGTTTACTAATAATATGCCACTGGCAGTTTGGTCCTGATGGTGGAGTCCTCCACCAAGTAATTTCTATCTACTTTATGCCGAACATAATATTGTGATTTACTAGAGGAAAAGTAGTTAAAAATGTAAAACATTAAGAAAATAAATACTCAGGTATGTCTTTTCTAGACACTAGATGCGACTGCACCTTCATTTTGATTATTGGACTAAAAGTGAAACTTGGCAGGGCATGGTGGCACATACCTGTAATCCCAGCACTTTGGGAGGACGAGGCATGAGGATCCCTTGAAGCCAGGAGTTCAAGACTAGCCTGGGCAACATAGCGAGATCCTGTCTCTTAAAAAAAAAATTAGCTGGGCTTAGTGGTGGTGGTGCATTGATAGTCCCAGCTACCTGGGAGGCTGAGGCGGAAGGACTGCTTCAGCCCAGGAGTTTGAGGTTTCAGTGAGTTATGATCGTACCACTGCTCTTCAGCCAGGGTGACAGAGTGAGACCCTGTCTGTCAAAAAACAAACAAAAAAAAAGTGAAACTTAAAAGTTATCCATATAGGCCAGGCGTGGTGGCTCACGCCTGTAATCCTAGCACTCTG